TCTAGTACACTCAGTGTCCACCGTACCGACCCCCCACACTGAATCTGCAATCTGTCCACACCCTAGCATGATGCATGAATGTTACCTAGAATGCACAACTCCAAAGCATTCTTTCTGTTCATTTAATCATACCCATCTCTAGTGGTGGTGCAGAAGCAAGTTTGGTTAATAGAATATTACCCCTTACGTCTTAGAGTGATCATGCATCCAGTTACTGTTGTTTGTTCCAGTTCCTTAGTTGGTAAAACAGCACTAACTGTTGCTACATTTTCATAGGCAACAATATAGAATGAGTTCATTGAATATATGTAATTGTGGAACACTTCAGTGAAAAAATGCTTATTCTTCTTAATAGGGCAAAAGACTGTCTTCCAAAAGATCTTCCAGAACATGTCTTTAAAAGATATCTGAACCATTCAGTGTGAATGATTTTTTTTTTATCCCAAAAGTATAGTAATGAAAAACCACCATAACTTACATGTCAGTGCAATAGTATGGCCCCCTCCGCCGCCCTCAGAATGAGTTCAAAATATAAGTTGCTGTGTATTATATTATGGATACATTAGGCTTTTCCAGGAATGAAACAACTGATGTTGTCTTCTTACCTTAGACCAGTTATTCCCAAATGGTGTTCTGGAAAACCCCAGGGTTCTGTGAAGTGAAAATAAGGGTTCTGCGAGAAAATTCCATTACAATAACATGTTATTATTACAAAAATAATAATTAATATTAAGCATTTATGAATTTTATTGAAAACAATTTTCATTTGTGCTGATCTCATGACCTTGTTTAGCATTGCTTTATTATTATCCTTACTTATTTAGTAAAACATTCTTTTACTTGTTTACCTTCTTTTCCATCCATAGGTGCATTTATGTCCTAGTTCAGGGCAATTCTGTCCGTATCCCTCTCCGTGATCCAGCAAGGTGTCCACTCTGAAGCTTCCAGCTCCCCAGCCATTATCTCTCTTAGTCAGAGACATGTGTTTCCCTTCTGATAGGGGTTTGTGCAAGCTGCACAGTTCCCTGCTTAAACTGTGAATTCCTTAAGGGCATGTCTACACTAGGAAATTTTCAGAATAATTTATTTCAGAATAACTCCTGAAATAATGTGTCCATACTACAGGGAAGTCTCAAAATTAATCCGACGCAGGCTTCCTGAATGTGGATGCGCTACCTTGACTTAGAGCCCCAGGAAACACTGGGGAGTTACTACTGCGAATGTCTCTGGGGAAAAGTTATTTCAAAATGTCAGCAGTGGAGCATCCACACTGCCAGTATTTTGAAATAACTATTTCAAAATAAGCATCATTCCTCGTGGAAAGCAGGAGTTATTATTTCAAAATAACTCCCCTTATTTCAAAATAACATATTTTGAAATAAGGGGAGTTATTTTGAAATAACTCCCTATTGTAATCTGATAGCCCTGGTCTACATAAGCAGGCCAGCTCTGCTTTTTTTTCCTTAGAAGCTATAAACAGCAAAATTACTACTAAGTTCCCACACAGCTTTTAGCTTCATTCTAAATAAGGCCATTTATTTGTAAGGTAAAGAGAACACGTTTTAAAATATAAAAAAACTACATACACTAATAAGTTTACCAGAGACCACTTCCCCCAAGTCTCCAAGTGTGCTGGTTGGTGTTAGCCCTTCCAATCATTCCTTAAGGGTTGGGGGCCTCCCCTTGGGCAGAAGGTCCTACATGTTTACTTTATCACAACAAAGGCCTTAAATCATTTTAAACTCAGATTATTTATACAAAAGTATTGTCTTTGTTTGCTGGTCTCTCGAATACAGTTTGTACCAGTAAATGCTCAGGAAATAACTTCTGCAAAGTGGATGTGGCAGGTTGAGAGTAGGGTCGCAGCCTCCCCTGTTTATATGAACCAGCATAGCAGGCCTGGGAGAGAGAGGTGACAGATAAAGCTGACGCTGAACTCTCTGGAACACCAGGAGACGTGCCAGCCGAAGGAAGCGGTACTGCTTATAGTTTCCACTGGGACATTTTCTGTGGACTACAATCAAGACCTTGGTGTTCCACTCTGGGATATAGTGTTCAGATCTAAAATCTTCTTGGTTGGAATTGCTACAGAGATAGCACATTAATCCTCTAAGGGCATGTCTACACAGCAGTGTTATTTTGGAATAACTGATGTTATTCTGAAATAACAAAAAGTGTGTCTACACAACAAGCCATTATTTTGAAATAATGTTGAGCTGAAGGACTTCCTCTGACTCCTGGAACCCTCAATTCACAAGGAGTAAGGAAAGTCTAATGAAGACTGTTCTTCCTTCTGCTTCCTACTGTAGACAGCGCCAAAAGCTGAATTCAGCTGCTTCGACTTCAGCTACTCAGTTGACGTATCTGAAGTTGTGTAGCTTAATTCGACTTTTGCCCTGCTGTGCAAATGTGCCCTAAGAATTTTGCAAGACAGCCTTGTTAACACTCCTCCCTCCTCTGTTTCCCAGGCTAAATGTGACTTTTTGGAAATTCAACCTTTCTTGGCTTGTAAGAAAGACACTGGTCTTTAAGGACTATTGTGCAGAGAAAAGCTCCTGAAGTACTTCCCCATTTCATTGAAATGTTTTTTAACTAATGCTCTTTGTAAGAGCATAATGCTTGAGTAGTTGTAAATGAGAAACAGCCAAAGAATATCTGAAATACTTATTGGGAACATTTCTGAAGTCAAATATGAAGGTGGTGTTTGTTGGGGTTTGAGATGGATGTTTAAGACTATTTTAATTTATTTTCACTAGCCACAATATCTGTTACAGTAATATAGGAATTTAGGGGTTTAAGGCATACTCTAATGGGCAAGGTGTAAATATCTATAGCAGGACAAATTGTGTCATTGTAACATATCTAAGTAGCTGTCCTATTGAAAGGTTTGGTAATACAGGATGGGGATAAAAGGTATCCAGAAAGGATTGTCAACTGTTTCGAAAGTCTGAAAAGGGAATGCAAAGTCAAATTTATTATCTGTTAAAACAAAGGGAAATTTTAACTTAATATTGTCTATAGGTCCCCATCTAATATAGTTAATGATGTAGGTTTGTCATTGTTTTGTTTGTCAACTGTTTGAAGTTGTGGACACTGATTTATGGTTTGTTAGCCAATATGATGGCAGGAAAATGTTAAGTAATCCAATAATTGTGTTCAAAGTACTTACAGACACTAATATTACCTAGAGCTTGTTTTTCACTCTGTCCCTTATTATAATTTCAGTAACTACTTCAGATGAAATCTTTGGTGAGGGATATTTTTTTTTCCTGGTCCTATTACATGAGGACTAGCATATCAAAAAGATAAAATAATTTTCCTTTGAAATCTCTAATTTCAATGAAGTACAGAGATGCAGCCTTGCGCAGTGACTTGGACTGATCTAGAATAGAATGGTCCCTCTAAATAGGAACAAACTAAGTCTTTTGTGAAGACCTTCTTTTCTTGACTTGAGCTGGGTATTCTAGCTGTTGAGGTAAAAAAACAAATTCAAAAGAACCTTTCCCAAAACAGAATAAATAGACTTGCAAAACCTTCTTTCTATATAATTTATATAAAGAATCTGTAGTTGCAAATAGTAATTAGAGATAAAGATGTTAAGAGGCAGGTAACTGACTAATCGTGTAGTCAATACAATTTGTATCTATTACAGACCACCTACCCAGGAAGAAGAGGTAGATGAGGTTTTTTTTAAACTAACAAAATCATCAAAATCACTGGGTTTGATGGTGATGGGGGACTTCAACTATCACATCAGGGTACAGATTATCCAATAAGTTCTTGGACTGCATTGGAGTCGATCTTTTATTTCAGATCATTGAGAAAGCTACTGGGGGAAGCTGTAGATTTGATTTTAACAAATAGGGAGGAACTGGTTGAAAATTTGAAAGTGGAAGGCAGCTTGGGTGAAAGTGATCATGAAATCAGAGAGGTCATGATTCTCAGGGATGGTGGTAGAACAGAGAAGAGCAAAATAGAGACAATGGATTTCAGGAAGGCAGATTTTAGTAAACTCAGAGAGCTGGTAGGTAAGGTCCCATGGGGAGTAAGTCTAAGAGGAAAACAACTGAAGAGAGTTGGCAGTCTTTCAAAGGGACATTAGTAAGGACCCAGAAGCAAAACTATTCCACTGCATGGGAAAGATAGAAAATATGGCAAGAGACTGCCTTGGCTTAACCAGGAAATCTTACATGATTTAAAAATCAAAAAGGAATCATATGAAAAGTGTAAACTAGGTCAAGTTACAAAGGATGAATATAAGCGAACAATGCAAGTATGCAGGCGCAAGATTAGCAAGGCAAAGGCACAGAACGAGCTCAATCTAGTTAGAGACATAAAGGGTAACAAGAAGACATTCTACAAAAATTACAAGCAAGAGGAAGACCAAGGGCAGGGTAGGCCCATTGCTCAGTTGAAGAGGGAGAAACAATAACAGGAAACTTGGAAATGGCAGAGGTGCTTAAGTAATTTTTAACTTGTTCTTTTTTAAATTGTAACTTTTAAATCTACCCCATTTCTACTTTGTGTGATGGTGACGGGAAATGGGGTAGGTTTAGAAGTTAAAATAAAAAAAGAACAAGTTTAAAATTACTTATACAGGTAGATATCTGCAAGTCACCAGGGCCTGATGAAATGTATCGTAGCTTACTCATGGAGCTGATAGAGGTGATATATGAGCCTTTAGCTGTCATCTTTGAGAAGTCATGCAAGTCGGGAGAGGTACCAGAAGACTAGAAAAGGGAAAATATTTCCCTTTTTATAGATGGACACTATAAGAATAATTCAGGAAACTACAGACTGGTCAGTTTAACTTCTGTACCAGGGAAGATAATGGAGCAAGTAATTAAGGAATTAATCTGAAGACATCTGGAAGATAATGAAGTTCTGGCCTCCATTGGAGAAAGAATTACAGACCTGAGGCACTGCTAGACTGAACCAATGTGGCAGTTTCTATGTATTTCCGGTTTTGGTAACATGGTCTTTTTTTTTTTTTTCTTCAGGTCGAATTCTCCTATCCTCCCCTCATCTTAGGAGAAGGACATGACAGCCACAGTTTACCTGAAGAATGGAAATACTTGCCTTTTCTTGCCTTGCCAGATGGTGCTCATAATTATCAAGAAGGTAAGAAAGCAGATATAAGGTTACAGCATCTCTGGGTGAGAATCTCTAGCAGTAGCTGAAGACACTAGATCCTTCTATGTCAGTGGTCTCCAACCTTTTTATACTCAAGATCACTTTTTAAATATCAGGGCAAGCCAAGATATACCCCATAACTTCCCTGACATCCCACCTCTTCCTTGAGATATCGTGCTCTCCATTCCCCTCCTCTCCATCATTAGATGTCCCCAGCCCTTACTCACTCTCACTGAGACAGGAGGTGCAGGCTCAGGGGTGGGAGTGAGGGAATTGGGTGTGGGAAGGTGAGAGGTGCAAGCACTGGGAGGGAATTTGGATGCAAAAGGAGGTAAAGAAGGGGATGCTGGCTCGGGGAAGGGGTTCCAGGCTGGAAAGTGTTGGGATCAGGCGGAGGGTTAGGGTCCTGAGCAAGCCGCAGGCTTGTGGGGGTGCAGGAGTTTGGGTTGCGGTGTATGAAGGGCTGAGGGCAGGGAGGTGGGGTGTTTGATGGGCTCAGGGCACAGGGTTGCAGTGTGTGGGTGGTGCAGAAGTGTTGTGGCAGAAGACTGTGGCTCAGGGCCGGATTAAGGGGTGGATGTAAGGGACGTTGCGCGCCCAGCTGCGCGGCACCCTTTAGAGCTGCCCTCAGGCGCCATGTGCCCAGGGCTGGGGTCCGCGTGGCGGCGCCCCTTAGAGCTGCAATCAGGTGCCACGCACCCAATTGTAGCTGTAAGGTGCGCAGCACGCTGGGGGCGCGGGACCGCACATGTGCCGTGCGCCTGGGGGCGGAGCTGCGCATGCATCGCACGCCTGCTGCCCAAGGTGCAGGAATGGCTTGAGCCGGCCCTGCTGGGGATGTGAGAGGTGCATGAGTTTGGGGATGTGACAGGCTCAGGGCAGAGGGCTCATGTGTATGATGAGTTCAGGGTTGGGGTGTAGGGGGGCTTCAGGAGTCTTATGATGCTGCGGCCAGATGGGGGCTTATCGGTGAGGCTTTGTTTTTAAATAAAATATGTCCAACACAAAAGGTTTCAACATTGTCTTTATTTATACGAGGGGTAGGAAACCTTTTTTGGGTCAGGACCACTGACCTATAGAAAAATCAGTCAGGGATCGTGTTGAAGCAAAAACTTCTCTCTGGTTTGGTGGCTAATAAACAGTTTTATTGATCAATAAGACAAAGTGAGACAAATGTGACACCAGCAGAGCCGGGCCCAGTAAGGCTGGCTAATACAATCAATCCTAGTATTTTATACCCTTAACCAAACAAGTCTGACGTCAGGGCAAGAAATCAAAGCGAACTTCAAAGAGAAATTATTATCAGCAAAGAAAGAAACAGGTTTTTAGGGAGTAAGGGCTTCAGCTTAAAATAGTTCATTAACACATTCCAACAGCGCATCCTTCTGGCCTCTCCCCACCTCGGAGAAGGCCAGTTCACTCCCTCTAGTATACATGCAGACACAAGAAACTGAAATGGCTTTTGTTATACAGAATGGCTTCTAGCTAAATATGAAATGGTTTCCACAACCGCACAAGTCAGATGCAAAAAAACCCCTACCCTCATTGATGTAACCCCCAGCTGTGACACCTCACTCCCCTGGCACTCCAGCCCCATGAGGGGAAACGTAGGTAGGACTGAGGTTCGAGACTCTAGCCCAGATTAACTCTTCTGGGGTTCCAGGCTTAGTGGATTTTGTAGGCCCCCCTTGACTGTGGGGTGGGGCCAAAAATGAGGGTTCCAGTGTGCAGGACAGAGCTGCCAGTGAGTGGGATAGGGATGCAGAATCTGGGTGGGAGATAGGGAGCAGGAGCAAGCTGGAGGCAGGTATCTGGCTAGGAGGGAGGGGGCAGGAGCAGGGTGCTGGTGGGTGTTGGGGCAGGGGTAGGAGCAGAGGGTTGCCAGATCTCTAGCTGGAGAGAGGGGGCAGGGGTAGCTTGACTGGTACCTGGGGGTTTCCAGGGATGCGTATCCCTTGGGCAGGATCTGCAAGTAGCGCTGGAAGAAGCATAAGTGCTGCTCCCTTAAAAAAATCCAGCTGCTCAAAGTCCGGATCCCGGGTGCTGGTGGGTGTTGGGGCAGGGGTAGGAGCAGAGGGTTGCCAGATCTCTAGCTGGAGAGAGGGGGCAGGGGTAGCTTGACTGGTACCTGGGGGTTTCCAGGGATGCGTATCCCTTGGGCAGGATCTGCAAGTAGCGCTGGAAGAAGCATAAGTGCTGCTCCCTTAAAAAAATCCAGCTGCTCAAAGTCCGGATCCCCCAACACCATGTTAGCCTCTCTCCCTCCTCCTCCCCTCTCCTCCCCCCCTCCTCCCCCCCGGACTCTGCCTCCCCAGAGCATGGGTGATGGTATGGTGGATAAGGAAGTATGCATGTTGATGTGGGGAAGGGAGGAGCAGTGCTGACTTGGAGCAT